CCTGCTGAAGAAGCTCAAGAGATTTACAAACATAGTCAATTCTTAAGGTATCACCAAGCCGGACTTACCAAACTCTTCCTCACTCCTGTCCCGGTGCAGGTAGATCCACAACTTGCGTCCAATGTCGTACTTCACACAGGGATCTTTCTCATAGTGTAATCGATCCAGAGCACCACTAACAACAGTATTAACCTGGAAGTGCAGGATTCACAGAATCAAGTCCCTGCTTGGGCAAGCCAAAAGTCACAAACAGCAAAGTAAAACCTCAGTAAGCTGCTAGCAGTTCTCATCTGAGGAAGAATCGACTGAGAGCAGCGGCACAGGGTGCTGTTTGCCACCTTGGGTTAAATGGAGCTTCCATCAAGGCTGAAAGCTCTGAAAATCAACTGTTTCTGAAGGCACACTGTTAATTCTGTGGCTTTTCTAGATGCTTTTTCATGGTCCTGACTTTGGGGCAGATTTGCAGCAGCACAGAGTAGTACATAGCTCCCTTTTCCTAATCAAAGCAGAACAAAAATCATCAAGCCTTAGCCACTGAACACTGCCTGGGTCTGTGCAGTGATTTTAAAGGAGAATCTGTCCGAGGCCAGACACAAAACCAACTTACTTGAGCACTTGTGACATCAGGAGCTAAGAACTGGGAATCTTTAAGCAGCTCACAGATTTCAGCACGAGTTCCTTCTCCATTAGGAAGACGAGCAGCAGCATCACGAACTAAAACACAAAGTCAGAGCTTAAAACTTGCAGCTGTGTTCAGGTACTTCAGCAGATACATTTGGGTATTGTTTTCTTATCCCTGCTGTCACAGTGCCCTCTTGCTCATGGTGATCCCTCAGAGGTATGAGCAGAGATTATAAAGGACCTTTTTAAAGTACATCCACTGTGCCAGCTTTGTGCTTGGAGTGGTGAACTTGGGAACTGAACCCCAGAACGGCTTCACAGCAGGGAACTGAAACCACCACTTGTTGTTTTCCAGTTATTTGAGCCTTGGCTTCAGCCATCCCCATGGACCCTCTTCTCCATTTCCCATTTTCTCTCAGATCAACAGCAGCATACAGAGGCTTTCTTTTCTAGTTATTCCTGCTCCCAGCACTTCACAGAATCATAGAATGGTTTGGGTTGGAAAGGGCCTTAAGATCATATAGTTCCAATCTCCTGTGATGGGGCAGGGACACCTCACACTAGACCATGTCACCCAAGGCTCTGCAAAACCTGGCCTTGAACACTGCCAGGGATGGAGCTTTCACCTCTTCTTTGGGCAACCTGTGCCAGCGCCTCAGCACCCTCACAGGGAAGAACATCCTTCCCTCTATTCCATATAATTGATTTCTTCTTCACTTGTGTCCCAGTCTTCCCACTGTTCCTCTTTATAATACAGATTCCTAAACTCATTATGTGGGGAGTCACGGAGCCTCTCTCCTTTTTAAACACCTTTTCCTGGCCATCATCTTACCAAGGGACAAGATGGTGACATATGCTGGTCGGTCTGAGCGCAGGAGGGAATGCTCTCGGGCTTTGTTTAAGGAGGTTTCCTTGTCAAACACCCCCTTCACAGGACCAACAACTGACTCAAAGCCATGCATACGGAAAGTGAAAGCTTTGTGGGGCTGGCTGTAACGGTAACGCTCCTGTGTTTGGGAACAAGAGGACTGAATTTAGCAGGAAACATAAAGAGCAAAGTCTTAAAGCTTCTGCCATGTTTAAGTTGTTATCATTCTCCAGAGAGAGCTTTTTCAGAAGTTAAAGGCTCAGACACTACTGTGTATACTTATTGTGGATCACAGACTACTTCAAGGAGAAGGTAAAGCACCACCTAACCAAAGTGTGCAGGTGCAATACATGTGGTTCACTGTTAAGCAGCTGCACAGAGTGGAGAGGTGCCAGAGATACACCTTCTGCCCAGCAAACACCCTTCCCCCAGCAACAACAAGCCCTTTCTTCCTCCTGTAATGTGGTAAAAGAGATTTCCAAGGGTTTTCCAACTTGCATCTACTAAGATATAGAAGATAACTAAGTGCATGGGTGCAGTTATGGCCACTTGTCTTCTGCTTGTACTCATACGTGCTCAGTAGTTCTAGAGACAAGTCACCCTCATATGCTGGGGGACAGAATAGGAGACAGAAAGGTTGGCACTACCCATTTAAACGAATTTTGCCCAGTACTCATTGGAAATACAGATGGTTTTGAAGTTAGCAGCTAGTCTATGTTAGCAAGTTTTAACTAAGGCCTAGATACTTCACGACAGAAGAAACTTTGCATCAACAAAGTCTGTGTAGAGTATAAAACTGCCATCCCACACAGATTCTCTTCAGTGGCCAGTTGTTTCAACATGTGCACTCAAAATTAAGAGGATTCTCTTCTTACCTGTTCCTGAAACACACGTTTCTCCTCACCAGTGCTAGGTCGGACTACATAGTCAGTCCTTCTGAAACAAAGGTCAGCATCAGTTCTGAGCAACAAAAGTCCCAAAGAACATCCCAAAGGATTAGTCACCTCATAAGCTGGATTACAGGCTGATCTGGTAATATATCCAACTTGGAGAAAACCAGTTGATTTTGTGAAGTTACTGCACTTGTAACATCACACTATCAAGTTCCCTCCTGCCCCATGATGTGAAATCACTTTAAACAACCAGCCCTTCAGATCCAGAGGAGCAAGGACCAAACTGCACAGCTGCAGCACACGCTGCAAAAGCTGCCAAGCAGTGTTAGTTACTTACACTCTGGGAATTGGCATGGTGGCATCTGAGCTGTCTTCATTCTCCTATCAGAAAGCAGAGAAATGTCAGTGTTGGATTATAACCCTGTCAGGTTTTGTGCTGGGGAAGGTGATAATGTTTCTGACTCACTTTGAAAAAAGTCTGGTCTTTGGTCTCCAACCAGAGCTGAAACAGTGCTGCCAACTCCTTCTCATGATCTTGGCACGTACCTAGTCCAAGAAATCAGGGGAAATAGGAAACATAAGTCCTTTATTCGCTACGAAGCCGGTTGCTTGTACTTCCCAAGCCACCTCCTACTGCCTTCCCCTCTCTATGTATCACCAGTCACAAGGCATCTCCCACACCACAGATGCTCCAATTTCAATACTTGAAGACATCCAGGGCTTAGGAAAGTGCTAAAACCCTGTTACTCTCCTGTGTTGGTACAAAGGACCCTGCTTTAACTCCCTGCACAGTGGGCAAGGCCCTGTTTGAGCCACAGCCACCTATACTTGCAGATGGTTCCTGCTCTCCAAAATAATTCCAGTCACTGAGCCCCAGAGCAGGGACCAGTGGAACTGCTTCCTGACTCCAAATCTCTGCCAGTTTAAGCCCTTATAAATATGATTACTCGAATTGTTATAGTTAAGAATGGAAAACCCTGCTAGTAGCTAAATGAACAAACATAACCACAAGCCATCTGTAATTCAGTCACACATTGATTATGGGCACGTTGATTATCAATTTGCTCTTTAGTTTCTGCTTTTAAAAATGGGAACAGTGTCAGTTTGCTCCATGGAGAAGCTCAATTCATTTGTAAGGATTAATTATCACTCTGAACAACCAGGTGTGCTCTATGGAAGGAAAACATTAAGGTGTTCAGATTTGAAGGGTGTTACCGTTACAACAAACCCTTACTAGAGGAGAAATCACAGAAGAACACACAATACTCACCAAGCAATTTCCACTGCTGAGTTTTCTCCTTGAATTCAACATAAGGGGAGAAGCTGGAAGGAACATCTACAATGAAAAGTGCCTGTGTCAGAGACATCAATCCTCCAACCCCTTAGATCCTACTGTTGCAGTACAAGCTGTTGAGTTAGACTCATCCTGACAGATAAAGCACTTCAAGTGAAGGGCAGCTCTGCATGGTCCAAAGGGGAGGTAAACATCTCACAGTAACAGTGCAAGCACAAGGAAAGGACAGAACAGGATAATGAGCCTTTCACTGAGATCCTGTTTATGCTGTGAGACACCAGTCACTGTACGGTGACTATTCCTGGGCTCAGGGGAAGTGAACTCAGGATTTAGAGCATTCACCAGTGTTACAGAGAACATCAAATATCCCTGCTGCAAAGGCCACTACAATCTACACTGTCTATCCTTTTAAAACTTCCCACTAAGCAAATGAGAACCACAGAATAATTTAGTTTGAAAGGAACATCTGCAGCCTGAGCCCCAGGTCAAAGCCCACTACATGTTTCCAAGGTCATTGCTCAAGGCATCATCTAGTTTCTGTTTTATCATCTCCAAAGACAAGCACGTTTTTGTACTGGGAAGAAACTAATTTATTCCTGCTTCGAAGCTCCCACCTGAAGTGTGTGATCTGAGCAGGATAAACTGCCCAGAGGCACTTGCACACACGTTTTTGCGTACTCAAGCTGGCTCTTATCTACTATCCACACACAAAACAAGCCTACCACAAGCAAGAAATGTCAGCCATGAAGCCTATGATAGAAACACTGTCAACAATACAAGGATTCATTGTTGTGATGATTTGAGCTGGCACAGGCTGTCTGAAGAAGTGATAAATGTCCCATCCCTGGCAGTGTTCAAGGCCAGGTTGGACACAGGGGCTGGAAGCAACCTGCTCTAGCGGAAGGTGTCCCTGCCCATGGCAGGGGGTTGGAGCTGGATGATCTTAAAGTCCTTTCCAACCCAAACCATTCTATAATATCACCAGCTCTGATGAGAACTGAGGTACAAGCATTGTGGATATTTTTAACAGCCATTCTCACCTCTGCTGTCACCTGTCAAGTACTGCAAGGCGGGCAACACCAGTTCAGACCAGTTAGGGGCAAAGGAGAACCAGTTATTTAGTGCGCTGGCAGGAGAAGATTGCCAATCTAGAACTTTATCTTCAAGCTGAAGAGAAAAAGAAATACTCTATTGAAGATCTCACGCTCTGTGGCTGTTTGAATAGAAAACCAGCCAGGGGACAAAACCATTTTTAGGTATGAAAATAATCATCTGACTTTTTCAATTAACCACCACAAGGTATTTTGGACAACACACACCACAAAGGGGCAGAAACTTCCCCATCATCTCTGCCCTTCATATACAGAATGTATCTAACCATGATCTAAAGAACAGGTATGGAAAGACTTATAGATTCAACTGACGAAATCTATGTTCACAGCAGGATGTGGTGTGCACTCCCAAAGGGTTTCATCTCTTTAGCAGGTAACCTACATCTTAATGCGGAACAACTCTGGAGAAGAATCACCATTACACAGCCATAAACCCCTCTATCCCCTGCAAAGGTTCCTAGATAAATGGGTGGTTCCTTACAACAGAAAGGGTAGCAGGTCCTTCCAGATACAGTATCTCCAAAAGAAGGGAAAAGAAGTTGGAAGAGATCTCATTTATGCCAAGGCATGGCTTCATCTCTTCAAGAGGTCTGCAAATGAAAGAGAGCACAGAGTAAGTTCCCCGAGCGAATATTCACCTTCATACACAGAGATAAAAACTACACGTTTCACGAGCAACACCAAACCAAACCCTACAGAAGTCCCACAGAAAACTGAGCTCCAACATCTGCTGCTCTCTCCATCCTCAGGCTCTCAGGGCCCTCTGAAGCACTTACTCCTCTTTGACAGATGACAAGGGGATGGGAGAAGGATCCTGAGACATTGATGGAATCCCATCTGCGTTGCTAAGAGAGTCAGCCAAATCTTCCACCTCGGATTTAATCATCTTCAGCTTTTTTTTCTTCTTATCATCCTTTTCCTTCACCTTTTTCTTGAGGGTTGCAAGGTCAAATAAAGCTTTAAATATAAAAGATAAGAAGGATTAATGGTAAAGCTTCTTAGCATATTTCAGTGAGTCGTAAACTATGTATTTAAATGTACATTCAGAAACTCATTCACACATCATTTATTCCATCTTCCCAGTCATTTCCATGAATCTTTCCATGAAACTCCAATGCACCCTGATTTAATAGAAAACCTTTAGTTTTCATATGAAATCAGAAAGGCAAAGGAGCTGCTGAGAGCAAAGATACAAATTAACTGTCATCAATTAGCTGAATGCACCTTCAGTGGGAACTGGAGTTGGCTGTGAGCTACTGAAATGGAACAAGTCACAACCCCAGCGTGGTCAGCAGCTACGTGAAGAGCAAAAGGATACAACAACCCATCTGGACTAGATCCCTCCTGAGCTTTTCCCACAGACAGGATACCCTGTGGTGCACAATTCTGGTGTCCAAGGCACTGACCTGCTAAGGAACCTTTCCTGCCAGCATTCACTCGAGTCATGATGTCCTCAAGAGTCACGTCTGTTGTAACCAGATCAGGGTGGTCCTGCACAGGACAAGGGGATAGAAATGAAAACTGGGAAAGGACAAAGTGTGAAGCTAGCAACAAGAGTACAGAAGATAACCCAAGTTCTGAAGTGCCCCAAAGTTAGCTGGGATCAGCTTATGAGGTTAGTTACTGTAGTAAAAGTTAGGCAGCCTTCTGATCCTGAAATCCAGCATTTTGTCCCTCCAGAACACACAGCTAAAATGACAAAATCCCTCTAAGCCCATAAGCATAACCAATCTGCATATATATACAATGACATATAAATACAGGTCACAATAAAGGGCTGAAGGATGCACACCAAAGAAGCAGCAGTCATTTTTGCCACCCATAAGTACCCTGAGCTCTGTGGCTAAGAGATAGAAGACTGAGAGGTAAGATGCAGTCCCACCCCCAAAACTTCATAACATCTTACAGGGTGACGTTTTCGTTTCTCATGATGCTTCTTCAGCATCATCTTCACATCACTCTCCCCAATTTCTATCTTGTCTGCAAGGAAAAAAACAGTCAGAGGTTATTTGCACAGTGACAGAGACGTCTTAAGATGCCATTTTCTGTCCATTCCCACTTCCAATGATCCTCACATTTCAGTGACAAAATTTTCCTTACTCAAATTTCTTTTAATCCACCAGTTTATTTCAGTACTTTCTTCCCTGGTTCATCTGATTTCAGTGCTGATGCAAATATGGAAGTGAAAAGAAGTGAGAACCAGCTGTGCCACACGAAGGGTTTGCAGACTTGGTTACAGTAGCCTTGATGACAGTAACACATACACCAAGATATTTCAAACTGGACTATGCTAATGCCTCAAACATTCAAGGCAACATGTAACAGAGAAATCAGTAGCATTATACAAACTGTAGCCTTCCAAGGAGAAAAAGATTCAACAGGAAGAGCCAACAAGATTAAACTGGAAGAGCCATCTCCTTTGGAGACTGTAAAAATGAAGCACTACAAGACTGCCCATCAAACCACTGATTTTCAGACTGATTCTTGCAGGCTCTCAAAGTCATTCTCACCCCTAAATCTGCATCAACCCCTAGTTTGGTTCTCACCTGCTGTTTTCATGTCCAAGGTTGACAACGTGGGGATCACTCTCAGGGGAACTGGTGGACTTGGGCAACGTGATGGAGAACTTGGAGGCCAGGAGCTTAGATCTAAACCAGAGAAATAAATTTACCTCTGCAACTCCTAACATCAGTCTACATTAATCCTATTATCAGAGCCAATAAAACTGGAGCCCAGTTTTCATCCTTCTATCAAAGACATTGTCCCCACATCAAAAGTTGTCTTTCTCCATTCACACCTCCAGTCTTTAGCTCAATCCAGGGCATTACCTTCTTCATCAGAAGACAAAGTGGTATCTCCACACTCCTCTTTCACCTCCCTCAGTATCTTCAGGTAGCGCCGATGTGTCCGCCTGTCCCGTTCTTCCGAGTCATAGGTGGGTGAGAAGTGCTTTCTCCTCATGGTCATCTCAGGGCCTCCTTTCCTGGCCAATTCCAGCAGGTACTGAAAGATGAGATGCATGTGATGTTAGTTGTCTCAGCTACAGTGTTGTAATCAGCAACAGGTAAGCTCAACTCGTGCTTTCAGCAAGTTTAACACGTGTGGTAAGCACTCAGTTCTTTATGAGGTAGCCCTCAAGAAGTACCAGCATCTGCCACACACTTGATTTTAAGATCAGCATTTTTAGACCAATACTAAAAGGAAGAAAAAGCCAGGTGGAATTCCCACACCTTCCTCTGCACACACGGCAATACCTCCCTGCCATTGTACCCGGACTGTTGAGAAGAACCTAATCATAGCTCCGAAATCCACTTGGGCAGCTACCACATCAAATACATAACACAGACATGGAATACTGTCTCTTTTGAAGAAAACACTTTATCCCTTATGGCTACAGAGGAAATAACTTTGCCCAGAGAAGCTGTGGCTGCCCCAGCCCTGGCAGTGTTCAAGGGCAGGTTGGACACAGGGGCTTGGAGCAACCTGCTCTAGTGGAAGGTGTCCCTGCCAGAACTAGATGAGCTTTAAGGTCCCTTCCAACCCAAACCATTCTGTGATTTTATGAACTTCCCACATAGTTCCACATTCTTTTTCCCACATCACTGTGGGGCGTTTTGGAAAGACAGACTTTTCTCTTCATCCACACACCCTGTATGCTTCAATGTCTAAGCATAAAGAAACGATGTGGGCAAGTAGTCACACTGAACACGTTTCAGTCAGCAGTTAGCAGAGAACAGTATTCACAAAGGAAGATCTGATCAGGGATTTACAGGCATCAGAATCAGGGTTTTGTATCTATTCTGCATCAGTACCCAATGAAGCTGGGAAATTCATACAAGCACATACTGGGCAACCTCACTTGTTTCAGAATGACAGAAACAGTAGAAAACGAAGGCAGAATGACTTGTTAACAGGACAACAAGGTGTAAAGGGGCAAGTGCAGGAAACAGGAGACAAAGCAGGCATGGAAAAAAGATGCTATACACAACCAAGAGCTATGAGATTTTCAAACCCTGAAATCTGCAAACATAACAACAATCCTGCTATTCTCATGAGGGCCACCGAAAAAAAGCAGAAAGGAAAGACCTCTGAGAATTGTGAATGCACAAATACCAGGACACTTTGTTGTGAAGACAACGTATCTGTTGCCAAACACAAGACAGCACAGAATCCCAGACTGGTTTTGGTTGGAAGGGACCTTAAAGCCACGGGCAGGGCCACCTTCCACTAGAGCAGGTTGCTCCAAGCCCCTGTGTCCAACCTGGCCTTGAACACTGCCAGGGATGGGGCAGCCACAGCTTCTCTGGGCACCCTGTGCCAGCGCCTCAGCACCCTCACAGGGAAGAGCTTCTGCCTCAGAGCTCGTCTCACTCTCCCAGTAAAGGGCTTCCTAACATCTAATCAAAATCTCTCCTCTTTCAGTTTAAACCTCCAGTTCAAGCAGCGACGACACTCACGTTGCGGGAAGCAAGGATCTGCTTGAGCAGTCGGTAGAAGTACTGCTGCTGAGAGCTCAGGTACCGCTTGTACTGGGACTTGAAACAGAGCTGCCGGTACTTCACCACTTCGGGGTTGAAGTGTCCATCTGGAAGAGGCAAAAAGCACTTGAGATCCTCGCCGCTAGCTGCGGAATTAACCCTGACAGCACAGTGTTTGCTACACTCACTGACCACGGAAAAGCTTCTGGGCGATGTGCAGCGGGTTCCCGAAGCGGAAGTTTTCGCCGCTGAACAAGGCGGTGATGAGCTTGTTCTGATGCTCCCGGTTGTTTTCGGGGAAGTGAGGCAGGAACTTCTTCAGGTGCTCTTGCTGAGCATCTGTCAGCACCTCCTGCCACGTAGACAAGCTGACAACTTCAAAGAAGATCTCGGGCTAAAGAAAGCCAAAGACAAGAGTGAAGAACATGAGTCGATGTCATGAACAATTCTTTAGCCCTTAAGGCTTTCTGTGGTGAAATAACAACAGTATCAGGGCACGAAGAGGAAAGGTGAGGAAATTAATGATACTAATAGCAATAAGAGAGTAAACTTAAAACCAACAGTACTTTCTTAAAGGCAATTCTAAAGTAAAAGCAATTGTTACCTAGAAAAAGAGTGTATGAGAAAAGTTTTAAAAGACAATTTTCATAGGATCAGAACCCCAGCCTGGTTTGGGTTGAAGGGACCTTAAAGCTCATCCAGTTCCAAACCCCTGCTGCAGGGCAGGGACGCCTCACACTAGAGCAGGTTGCTCCAAGCCCCTGTGTCCAACCTGGCCTTGAACACTGCCAGGGATGGGGCAGCCACAGCTTCTCTGGGCACCCTGTGCCAGCACCTCAGCACCCTCACAGGGAACAGCTTCTGCCTTAGATCTAACCTGAACTTCCCCTGTTTCAGCTTAAACCCATCCCCCCTTGTCCTATTGCTACAGCCACTGATGAAGAGCTCCTTTCTGCACCCTTGTAGCTGCCTTCAGACACTGGAAGGCCGCAATTCTTTCCCAGGACAGTCAGAAACATTTCCCCTCCTCCCCGTTTGCTCTAAGCCCCACAAGAGAGAATGAAACGTGCCGCTCTTCAGGGCTCTGCGAAGATAAAGCACCTCAGCACTACTCACATCCTCCAGGAGGTCCTCGGGCAGGCTGACTCTGGTGCTCCCCAGCATGCAGTCCTCCATGATGCGGGTCCTGCTCCCATCCCCGCAGGGTCCCAGCTCCAGGGGGTCCGTCAGCATGTGATCCAGGGAGTCCATGCTTCACCCTGGCCCGCTCCTGAACAACGGCAGCGAGACCCTCAACAACCCGAAATGCCAACCCAGACACTTCCCAGATGAGGAACGGTGGAGTAAGGGGCTTGTTTAAAGGCCAGCCACAGAACTGGGTGCTAAGGATTACAAACTGAATGTAAGTGCTCAACTGCAACACCAGCAGAGCTTTGAGACGTGCGGGCTGCGAAGCAGAGGTGACCCCTTTCACTTTGCTTCCCACCTTCAAGCTGCTGTCAACGGAGCTAAAGAAGAGGAAAATAACACACCTAAAACCTGTTGTTAAGAAGGTAAATAACAGGAGAACAATACGCCTGAAGCCTAAAAGCGGTTTTAATGTGCAAACCCGACTTCTCT